AAACCCACTGCGGGCTGCGTGGATTTTTATCGTGGTATGGGACGTCGCAGGTCGACTCAGCCTCAAATGGGTACCAGGATGGCTGTCCTGTGAAAGTAAAGACGGCCGGCGTAATGCTGACAACATTACCACCACTTAGTGCCGACTGGTCTGTAAAAATTTGGAACGCTCTGTCCATATGCCCGATGCGCCTTTGGCTACTGCTAATACTATTACTTACTACTATTACTACTGCTGCTGCTGCTGCTGCTGCTGCTGCTGCTGCTACTACTACTACTGCTTCAGCCTCCATTACTACCATCACTGCTATGACGCCCCTGTAAAGTCATTTATTTTGAGCTCCCTCTTCCCTCAGCCTAACTTCAGCATCACTCTTCGTTTACAGCCTAGCAACAATAAGTTGTGTGGTTATTTATTTCAGTTTTAAAATCTGCTGAAGTAATTACATTTAACAACCGATACACAACCGATAAAACAAATGTGCAAGTAGAAAACTTCACAATTTTTTTGGGAACATCAAAATATGGTAAAAACATTAAAAAAAAAAAATAATAACTACCAAAAAATTTATCATAGAAGCCCACAATTTAACAGTTAAGTTGACAGCAACAATACAATTTATTACTAATTTTGTAAGGTTTTCGAGGTTTTGAAGTTTTGAACAACGGATCAATATCATGGCACACGAATAGATCAAGTCTGAGTCCGAAGAAGCTCAGCACAGTGCACAGGCACTGTAGAACCGGCGAGGATCCTTAAATACTTTGGTAGATTTTTAACTCCACATTTTTCCCGGGAGGCACCGTTTAGCTACTCTTTTTTTTTTAATTTCCAACTGCTAATGGATTTTTTTACGTGCGCAACAATGCACACGGACGTCCGATCTCACTACCCAAAGATCAGGAGGAGTTACTAGAAGTCCAAGTCCACGCGAAAAAACCCCAGCCCTTACCGGGGACGGAACCTGGAACTTCTAGCACTCGAGGCGGACACCATGCCTCGAGACCACGAAGACCCCACTAATAATTTTGTGTAACCTAGAGAGAAGCTTTCTTTTCACTTTTGCATTTGCGAAGGCATTTATCATTTCCCCGAAATCGAGACTTGACTATGATGTCTGACTGAGCGCTCCAAGGTTGACCGACCGTTCTTGGTGGTCATCCTCTCATCATTATTCAGCACATTCTTTAGGATCTTCACAGAATGTCACTCTTATCACCACACGCCTAAAAGTTTCTTTCTCTAACCAGTTCTCCCGCTTTACATGCTTTCTTAAATTGCCTATTCAATGACTTCGTACGAACCTTCGCCGAGATCTGCCTCTGAGTCGTTTTCTGGAAACTGCATCTTTCATCACCACCATGAGGTTTAAAGTAAGTAAAAGTAAAGGACCCTTTTCCACGCCTTCAGGTGTACTGGGCACATAGGGCTAGACATATATTTTATAGATCAGTCGTCAATCGGTGGATTATGTGGTCACTATCACACGGGTCGACTTTACTTCCCGGACTTTATCTCGCACCAGTTTAAGGCTGATTTGATCTGGAAGCCAATATCTGTCAAGACCTGAAAGCCTGACATTTAACATGGCCAACTTACTTCAGCTTTCGGGGCAGGATGCTGTTTACGAGCAAATTATCCTCGATGTTCAGATCATGCAAGACGTCGGTGTTTTTCGTTTTCTTTGTCCATGATATTCTCATAGTTCTTCTGAAGTGTTCAAGTTCAGAAGCTCCGATCTGTTTCTTCACTGATTACGTATAAATCTATCACTAACATATATTAGTTCTCCGTGTTGGTTCCTGGTCCCAATGTAGGGGAAAACAAGAATAATGCCACTGCCTTCGCAACAAGCACGTCGTTGAAGTCAACTAATTTGGGCTTCCTTCGAAGGAGGAGTGCATCTATCCAAGCGGCAAGGATGTACACGCAAAACTCAAACCCTGGCACAAGGTCAAAGTTCAAATGGACGAACAATCAGGTCTCGTCGCAGGAGCCTACAGCTCTCTCTCTGTCTTGTTTAACCCACAGGACATCACACAAGCGATAAACACCCGGCGACACAAAGTGCCTCCATGTGGATTAGGGTCACCCGTGGAGAGGTCCTAGAAACCCTTTTCAGCCGTTAGGCCATATTTATGATCGAGCGTGGTCAGTGGTTAGATAGGTGAGGGAACAACACGGGTTGTAGCCCTGCTCACTCTTTGTGTATTTTTATGTTAATAGTAGTAATTGTTATCTTTCTCAGACCTCCTTCTCGTTTGTGTCGAAACATAAGACTATAAAGTGTAAATTGGGTTGAGGCAGAGAGAGAGAGAGAGAGAGAGAGAGAGAGAGAGAGAGAGAGAGAAAGAGAGAGAGAGAAAGAGAAAGAGAGGGAGAGGTGGAAAAGAAATATACGGAAGAAAGAGTGTTGGAGACATTATTAGGGGCTAATGGTGTGTGTGTGTGTGTGTGTGTGTGTGTGTGTGTGTGTGTGTGTGTGAAGAAATGAAAGCAAGAAAGAAAGAAAGAAGAAGAAGGATTGTCTACCGAGCTATGACAACAAATGTAACGAAAAACAAAAGTTCACTGACAAAATTATTCGCGTAGTGACATCTGAAACCAATGTTATCGTAATGGTCACCCAGGAACGAGTCGGCTAGTAATCTGATAAACGGTCTCTGACCTTTGAAACACATTCATGTCTGTCAAGACAGGGACGCCGCCTAGGGGAACATCTGGAGAGAGTTTCGCTTCTCTTCCCAACTATAACAATACAAATCAGTACAGGAGCTAGGAGCTCTCCCACCATCAAACACTGGACCGATTTGGTGTCGCTTCTGCTTTTCCGAACTTTGCTTGGAAAAATGCATGATTTAAAATTGTTTACGTTGACTTGCTTGCATGTGCTAGAAAACGAATCATTAGCACCTGTAATATAATCATTTTCGATAGCATGGAATAATTTGTGTATAACAAAAGCACACTTACTGTTTGCTAACCAGTCAGGTTTACCCCACATGCCAGCAAGGCCTCGGCCCATCACATGATGCTGTACGGATGTCGCAGCCCGGCGAGCTTCAGTCCCTCATGGTAATGTCCATCATACGAGATTTCATGCTCTTAACATAACTACTGCCACGACCACAACCACCACCACTGCATCATCAACACAGCCACCACTACCGTCACTACGACAACGATAACAACCATAACAATCATCATCATCGTCATCACCACCACTGCATCATCAACACCATCGCCACCACCATCAACACAGTAACGACAAGCACCACCACCATAATTATCATCCTCACCATCATCCTTCCCCTCCTTTTTCTCCTCATCATCATCATTTGTCTTGCCAGACAGCATAAACGTTCACAGTTCGAATAATCTAGGATCCTAATGTTTTGGATTAATTTGTGTTGCGGATGTTCCTCCATTCTGTTCCCTTAGATCAGTGGTCTCGGACCTGGGGGCGCGAGGTTTCAAGAGTGGGCGGGGGAACAGGGGGGGGGGGGGGGGTGGCTGTCAAGCAATTTGTAATAATCCGTTATAAATAATTTTTTTTCTAGTATAGTTATGAATAACATATTAAACTATTTACAAAACAAAAAGGACTAGAAAATTGTGTGTTTATCTACAGTTAAAAATCTAATTAACATGATAACACAGACATTCCCGCGTGCGTCCGGGGTCCCATTGTGGAGAAGGGAAAATAAGAACAGACCCACTGCCTCTCCCACAAGCATGTCGTAAGAGTTGACTGATTGAGAGGCTTTCTTCGAAGTGCATCTGTCTTAGATTCAAAGAACCAACAATCTGCAGTCGGATCTGTTGGAGATTGTGCAACAAGACTAAAGTTTTGAGGTGATCAAAAAACCAAAACTATCAGTCGGAGTTTACAGCCGGTCAGCGCGAAGAAGAAGTAGAGGACAACACAGACATTTAATTATTGTTTAAGAACACGTTCTGACAAAACCGTTTTTCAGACTGTTTCCCTTATTGCGGAATCTATTGTAATCATGAATCACTCCCCGTCCCTTTTAGGATGACATTTTTCGTTATTTGAAGCCCTACTATGGCCCTTGCCAGGGGCCGCAATATAGCCCAACCATAAATATGGCCTAATGGCTGAACGCGTTTTCTGGGACCTCTCCACAGTGATCCTCATCAACATGTTGGCACATTGTGCCATCGGGTGTGTCATCTGCGTAGCGGAGTTCCGGAATAGGGTTGCCACCAATTTTGAGCGGATCATAACTGTCACAAGTCTGGTCATTTTTGACACTTCTCATTATATTTTCTGCGTATAGAGCCAAAGTAGGGCTTCAAAAAACGAAACATTCCATCTGACAAGGAGATGACTGGATTATAAATAGCATTGTTGTCTACGCCTTGATCCTTACCGTATATATAGCGCTATAAAAGTTTACGTGATTAAAAATGAATATATAGACTGGAGTTTATAGAAGACAAAAAACGTTAAGCAACTGAACAATCGAAACAATGTATTGGAAAACAATTACTGACTCGGAGTTACAAGGCTAATTTATGGCATTAACTGTACAGATATACCGTTTGTTTTCTAATATATATTTATGTCCTCTGTTTCGATGAATATCTTCTTCTTCTTTTTCGTTCGCTTGAAATAAATTTTCGATATCTGCAATGTTGTCTCTAGTATGAACTTCACTGTCGTTTGTATTTCACTTAGCGACTCGTAAAGTTTGACTTGCACCGATGTTTCTCTTGGCCAAACGTTTTGCCTTGATATGTTTGTTGTATTTGGGACAGTCTTGGAGGACATTATCTGTTGTCTCAGGTGCCAATCCCTATGTGCACATGGCTGATTCGCCCATTTTAAATTGTGTGTACATGTGGCTATGAAGTCGATCGTGTCCTGTTCTAAGGCTCAGAATAATAACTTGCTCTTGTCTGTCCATAAAATAGTAATCGTCTTGCGCCGGTTTTGGAGGCTTTCCGATTAATTTGATTCTATTTTTATGCTGATAAGAGACTAGTAACTCCGAGTCAGATGAATATCACTCATTACCCCGGAATTTATTTATTTTGCTAACTGTTACAGGATATGCAACCAGAACCAGACACCCAGTGGTCCATCACACGATGCTGTATGCTTGGAGGACACCAAACACATAGTTTTTGCATGGGCTCTTGATGCACCTGAAAAAGCTTTACCAGAGGGTAAGATACAAGTACTCGCGTCAAGCACGCACAGTCAATCATTACCCCACCCCCCTGTCGCGTGCGAATGTGCACCAGAACGCACCAGTACGGAGTGAGCAAATAAGACGTCAAAACAATACGTAACGTTGTTATGATAATATTGTTGTCTGAGCAGTTGATGTTTATAGTCCGAAGGAGACGGACGTGGGAATCCTTGAGGACGCTTTACCCCGGGATCCCACGGAAGCAAACGTTATTAAAGTTGGATCCTTGAGGACGTTTTACCCCGGGACTCCAAGACCTCAGCAGGAAGCTGGTGAGCACTACATTCTCGGCAGCAAGCCGGTATACTTTCATTGCTTAATTCGGACTTGTCCGAGGACCAAGATGATTGTCATGATCTCAAGGTCGGACTGCGACCTATCGTAAGGACATATCCATCCATGGATGTACGAGTGAGCTTTGGTTGAACGAGTTGATTATTGATTGCATACGTATTCTTGTGTTGATCATTGCTGATTGTATATATCAATACAACCATTGGAACTTAACGCATAGCGTTCGAGCTCTACATTTTGAAAGCATTGAAGTAACTACTGTTTTACCCCTACTTGGCCTATTTCATCTTGGTACCACACACATCAGCATGAAGCGATGAAGCTCTGCACGTCACAATGAAGGTCCGCACGTACCACCCCCCCCCCCCCCCCCCCTAAAATTCAGGAGTCTTTGGCGGGTAGACATAGTTACAAACGGCATGACCTATTCTTTTTTTTTAAAAAAGGTATGCATATATAACGCAAAAAATAACTGAAACACATTAAAATGTAACACACCATCATCAGGTGCCTTGTCGACTGGCGTGGGGGATCATGCCTCTCCATAATCCACGATCTCTTGCAGCATATATCAGTTCGTGTGCCGACACACCTCCATGCCATGCAACAAGACTGTCAAGAATCTTCTCTCGTTGTCTTCCTCTATCTCTCCTTCCACAGATCTTTCCAGTAGTCACAACATGTTCTACTTTCCCTCTTCTCATAACATGGCCGAAAAATGATGACTGTCTCCTTCTGATGTCTGTGATAAGTTGTCTTCGGGATCCCGCCTCTTTCAAAACCTCTTGGCTGCTCTTTTTGGCTGTTCAAGGTATTCTAAGCATTCTTCTGTAAAACCACATCTCTGAGGCCTCCAGAAATTGTCCGACCTGCCTACCGATTGTCCAGGAATCACAGCCATATGTTAGAACTGGATGTATGTAGCAAGCAAGAATTCTTTTTCTAACTCTCAATGACAAGGATATATTGCACAAGATGTTCTTTATTTTATAAAATGCAGTTTTTGTCTGTCTTATTCTGTTTCTTATCTCAGTTATGCATCTTCCATCTGGTGTTATCCATGTGCCCAGATACTTACATTTCTGTCTTTGTCCTAAAATAACACCATCGACTTTTATTACACATTTAGGAATAATTCTTTTCTTTGATACCACCATTACTTCTGTCTTCCCATTATTCAAACTAAGACCCATTCTTCCACTTTCTAACACCACAATGTTTATCATTTCCTACTTCTGACTTGTTGCTATAAAGACTGTGTCATCAGCATAACGTAAATTGTTTATATTGTGCCCACTAACGACAATTCCGGGCATATCAATTAAAGAGCTCATTATATAATCACTGTACATTGAAAACAAATCAGGTGATAGTACACATCCTTGTCGTTCGCCCCTCTTTATGCTTTGAAATGTACCTAAACAGTTGTTAGTTCTTATAGCTGCTGTTTGCTGCCAACACATATTCTTTATTATTCGTAGACCTTTTCCATCAGTGTTTAATTTCTGAAACAGTTTGATTACTTCCTAGTCAAATACTTCACGCAGTCAAATACTTTTGTTTAGTCTATGAAGCATAAGTACAAATCAGTCTTTACTTCTATAGCTCTTTCTGACAACGTCCCTAAATATGGCATTGTTTGTACCTTTTCCTTCTACAAATCCACATTGTTCATTCTGATTTCTGGTTTAATTTTGTTTCTTATTCTTCTCATAATTATTCTCAGTAAAATCTTAGTCATGTGACTCATAAGACTTATTGTGCGATGGTCTTCACATTTTAAAGTGCCTGGTTTCTTTGGCAGAGCTATAAATAGGGATTTTAAAAGGTTATGTAACACACCAGACAATGGAAAAATGAAAAGATTCACTGGAATTTGAACCCGCCATCTGTACGTGACAGCAATATAAGGGAAGGGTTAAACTGCAACACAACGAATACCTCAAGTGGAGCCGGACAACCTTTCAAGAAGAAATCACACTTTACG